CCACAGCTGGAGGAACATGGCCTGAGGGCGGGTCACAATATCCTCATCTAGTTCACTACACTTTCTCAGATCTCTTAAGGCACACTTGCGTTAAGTGCTTTTTAAAGTTATTTATAATGCCTGACAGCTGGGTGGACAGCGATTTGGATTCGTAGTCCTGAGGTTCCGGGTTCGATCCCTGCTGGAGGTGGAGACAAATGGGTAAAATGTTTATTTCACCCTGATGCCCCTGTTACCTAGCAGTAAATAGGTATACCTGGGAGTTAGACAGCTGCTACGGGCTGCTTCCTGGGGGATGGAGGCCTGGTCGAGTACCGGGCCGCGGGGACACTAAGCCCCGAAATCATCTCAAGATAACCTCAAGAAGATAACCACCCCATACCCATCCTATGTGTGGTGGCGAAGGAGGACACAGATACACATTATGTGGACTAGGAACTGAACTGCCACATTTCACTTAGCTAAGCAAATAACAATCTTATGAAGCCAACGACACAATTTTTTTTTCCAGGGGAGGTAGAAATAGCCTAAGCTACTCTATTTTATTTACTCTAGTTGTATTTTTTTCTTGTCTCAATAAACATTCTTGAACTTGACACAATTTTTAATACATTGTACGTCAATCTTTGCCTCAGGGGGTGAGGCTATGCATTTTGATCAGTGCTAAATCTTTTATTGAGGGAGACAGTTCCCCTTCATTGTGTATTGTCTAGCATTCCCTGTACTCATCTGTATCACCTTACACGTTTTTGTATATGATTCCTGTACCTAATCTTCTAGTGTGAGATTGGGCTTGTGGTCGTTTCACTGTGATGCCTGTGGAGTGGCCATGTTGCCTGTGGGGTGGCCATGTTGCCTGCGGGGTGGCCACGTTGCCTGTCGCGCCATAAAATATACAAGGTGTTCAGCGAGGCCTGAATCATGCTCCAGAACGTCGACTTTCTTGTGTGGTGGTGATGGTGGTAGTGGTGATGATGGTGGTGATGGTGCTGGGGGGGTGCAAACAGCACAAACACGCCTTAAAATAATTGAGAAAAAAGCACAAAGCCCTGGAGATGGGGTGGGGGAGGGTGCAGGGGTCCTTGGTGAGTTGGGGGAGGTTGGTGGGGGTGGGGGGGTGTTGATTATTGTGGGGCGTGTGAGGGATGGGGGGGGGATAGGGGGTGATTTCAAGCATCCCGCCTCCGCCGACATCTCAATCATCTCCAGAACCCTACCCCCCACCCCCCTTCTCTAACTGTTCCACCCCCCACTATTCTCCCAAACCCCCCCCTCCCTCTCTCTCTCTCTTGTCTAAGTTCAGGTAGGTTTATTGATACAAAATCAATCCTAATACCATAGAGTACCTTAGGATATCTCTACCCTATCTTTCAAAACACTCTAGAGGTCACATATCCATAGTGTCTTGTCTCTTATCACCAGGAGACCACCTCGCTAGGAGACCACTTACTACCCCTCCCCACTATCACCCCTTCTTGCCCCATCACCCCTCCTCTTTACCTCCACCACACCCCAACCTGCCGAAAACGTTGACCTGTCGTTCACTGCCTCAAGTGTCTTCCATAAGAACCTTCTCTTGTTAGTTCTCATTATCTTTTGTCTCTTGGTAATTGTGTTCGAGAAATGGAGGACACGAATAAGACAGACAAAGCAAAGATGGATGATATGTTGGGGAGATATACAAAACAAAATTTGCACCAAGATTGTAACTTTGTTGAACTGTCTAAATGTTTATTGCAAATTTTCTGTGTACCAACTCATACAAGTATTTGTGTGTATGTTTGATAACATACTACATGTGTACAGGAAGACATGTATATGTTTATCACTCAGAATGTTCGGCAATACGTTAATTGATTGTGATGTCTATATTATATACAGTATATATTATATATATATATAGCTTGAGCTACGTCATCCCTTTGTGTATTTATATCTCGATAAACTTATTTCAATTTCAATTAGATAGAGAAAATTAAGCTTAAAAATTAAGATGATTACGGGGGATAGAGGAAATAGAGAGATGGACGACGTGGGATATTGTGTGAGGGACGGGGGGGGGGGGGGATGAGATGGGTGTGGTGAGGTGTTGTGTGAGTCTAGTAAAGGTGTGGTGATGTGGTGGTGTTCGGGTGTGTGGGGGGGGGGGGAGGTGTTGTAAAGGTCAAATGGGGTGGGGGGTTGGGGGGAGTATTATGGGAGTGCCGAAGCCTGGGGGAGTGTGTGGTGGGGGTGGGAGGGGGTGTTATAGCCTAGAGGGAAGGGAGGGAGGGAGGGAGAGCGGCTACTCATGATGGCTCAATTACCACATTCCCCCCCCCCCCCTGAAGGACACTGGTGTCTTAGGGGGGCGGGGGGGATGTGTGGTACTTACCTATCTGTGTTTAAGGGGGCCGTGAGGTAAGCTCTTTATACCCCGCCTCTTGGCCTTGTTACAACCTAACTACTTAGATTTTCAAATTGTCAAATGGGGCCTTCATGTTGTGGATGGAGGTGGCTTCTACAACTTCCTCCTTCAGAGCATTCCAGTTGTTAACTACTCGTTACAGGGTACAAGTACTCTCTTACATCCATTCGGCTCATTTGCGCCTCCAGCTTCCACCTGTGTCCCCTAGTGCGTGTGCCCCTTGTGTTAAACAGCCTGTCTTTATCAACCCTGTCGATTCCCTTGAGGATCTTGAATGTGGTGATCATGTCCCCCCTAACTCTTCTGTCTTCCAGCGAAGTGAGGTTTAATTCCCGTAGTCTCTCCTCGTAGCTCGTAGCTCATACCTCTCAGCTCGGGTACTAGTCTGGTGGCAAACCTTTGAACCTTTTCCATTTTAGTCTTATGCTTGACTAGATATGGACTCCATGCTGGAGCCGCATACTCCAGGATTGGTCTGACATATGTGGTATATAATGTTCTGAAAGATTCCTTACACAAGTTTCTAAAGGCCGTTCTTATGTTAGCCAACCTGGCATATGCTGCTGCTGTTATCCTCTTGATATGAGCTTCAGGGGACAGGTCTGGCGTGATATCAACCCCCAGGTCTTTCTCTCTCTCTGACTCTTGAAGTATTTCATCTCCCAAGTGATACCTTGTATCTGGTGTCCTGCTTCCTACCCCTATCTCCATTACATTACATTTGCTTGGGTTAAACTCTAACATCCATTTGTTCGACCATTCCTGCAGCTTGTCCAGGTCTTCTTGAAGCCTCAAGCTGTCCTCCTCTGTCTTAATCCTTCTCATAATTTTGGCGTCGTCAGCAAACATTGAGAGGAATGAGTCTATACCCTCTAGGAGATCATTTACGTATATCAGAAACAGGATAGGTCCAAGTACAGAGCCCTGTGGGACTCCACTGGTGACTTCCCGCCATTCTGAGGTCTCACCCCTCACTACAACTCTCTGCTTTCTATTGCTTAGGTACTCCCTTATCCACTGGAGCGCCCTACCAGTTACTCCTGCCTGTTTCTCCAGTTTATGCATCAACCTTTTATGGGGTACTGTGTCAAAGGCTTTCCGACAGTCCAAAAAAATGCAGTCCGCCCACCCTTCTCTTTCTCGTTTAATCTTTGTCACCTGATCATAGAATTCTATCAAGCCTGTAAGGCAAGATTTACCATCCCTGAACCCATGTTGATGGGTTGTCACGAAGTCTCTTCTCTCCAGATGTGTTACTAGGTTTTTTCTCACACTAGGTGTGTGTGTGTGTGTGTGTGTGTGTGTGTGTGTGTGTGTGTGTGTGCTCACCTAGTTATGTGTGTAGTGATGGTGACTGGGTTTGTGTGGTGATATGGCTGTGGTTTCTATAATAAAAAGCGGTGAATCGTGCAGTGATAGTATGTGTGGTGATAGTGAAGATCTTTCTCCCTCTATTTGTACCCACATGTGTTGGGGTGATGGTGATGGCGGAGAGCTGGGTGACGGGAGCAGTGTATAGTGATGGTTACGGATGAGGTGGTGACAGTAAGGGGTTGGGTTGAGGTGGTAATGAGTGTGTAAGGTTAGGCTGATCATTAACCTCTGGGTCACCAACATTACTCTTTAGCTCTATCCAGTCTCTGTATTGTGTTATTCATTCATTCATTTTTCCTTATATATTTTCTCATCCTACTTCCATTAATTATTTCAGTTCTCCCTGCGCTCTTCCTTGCATTTTCTTTCATTCGTGTTTGTATTTTTCTTTCACTAGCATTTCCTCTTTTACTGTTCCATGCATTTAATATTTCGGTATTGACTGTGGGAGGCTAAATTTAAACAGTATTTATATCATATTATTGATGACCGTAATATTTACATCCTGTACAGTATGCAGTGCCCCCTGACCATCCTACATGCAGTTCCCCTCCTGACCCTCCTACATGCAGTTCCCCCTGACACTCCTACGTGCAGTTCCCCCTGACACTCCTAAGTGCAGTTCCCCCTGACACTCCTACGTGCAGTTCCCCCTGACCCCCCTACATGCAGTTCCCTCTGACCCTCCTACATGCAGTTCCCCCTGACACTCCTACGTGCAGTTCCCCCTGACACTCCTACGTGCAGTTCCCCCTGACCCTCCTACATGCAGTTCCCCCTGACACTCCTACGTGCAGTTCCCCCTGACCCCCCTACATGCAGTTCCCCCTGACCCTCCTACATGCAGTTCCCCCTGACCCTCCTACATGCAGTTCCCCCTGACCCTCCTACATGCAGTTCCCCCTGACCCTCCTACATGCAGTTCCCCCTGACCCTCCTACATGCAGTTCCCCCTGACCCTCCTACATGCAGTTCCCCCTGACCCCCCTACATGCAGTGTCGCCAGATCGTAGATGCCAATTTCACCAAACAGCTTAAGTGCAAGTGTTTACTGCGGGGCTCGAAGCATATTCTACTTTTCCAACTAGGTTAATCCGCCACTGCCTGCCTTTACCCCTCATAGGTTGTTCTTGGCATCCGGATACCATATATATGTATATTATATACATCTATACATTAATAAACTAACAAAATACAATATAATCTATTGTTTACTTACCATTCTGTCGCACAGGCTGGTCTTGATAACACAGGAGGCAGCATAATGCACTTACTGCATTGTCATGCCCACTGTTAAACTATATACTTGTCGCCCTGAACTATCCCTAGAGTCCTCAACGACCATGCAGGTTACTGCCACTCTCTCACTCATAGTCTAATTGTTCACCCCCTACGCTATAGTGCTGTACATAACGTTCATAAGCAGCAGCACCAAAATCCTCATGCTTATAAAGATTTAATGCTTTATATCACTTCCCTTTTCACAAACTATATGATCGGCTTTGATTTTTCTATTTTGTCAAAACAATCCACTTTCCTTCTTAGCCATGATCACCCTTTTCGAATGACTTTTACCTTATTACCCATGGTAAGCAGTTCCTCTCGTCCATGAGTTTAGCTCACCAAGAATAATATATCAGTAGAAAACACAGGAACAATTCTTGTGTGCCTGAGATCAGGCCGCTCTCACTCGAGGCGAACACGAACGGTACTGGTAACCTGCTGGCGTCGTCGCTTCCTCCCCTGCAAGACAGCTCCTCAGAGCTCGCTTTCCGTTGTTGTTGTCGTGTTGATTTACGACGATCGTGGGATCGGATGCGCCCCGGCTGCCAGATACCGGGAAATAGCGGATGGATGGGGTCCCTATAGTCTCTTGAGGCCATAGACCCTACAATCTCCTCAGGCTACATATTTTAGTCTCTTCAGGCCACGGACATGACTTCGAAGGATGTCATGACGGAGGTCTTCGTCTCTCGCACTTTCCCCGTCAAGGAGAACGGGAACCGTGAGGCGGGGAATATTCAGCCTACGAACGGCACTCTGTAGCCTGACGCGAGCGCTATGAAATCTGTTTACAATCGTATATATCGCTGAGTTAGAAGGTACTAGTTTACGCTAGGTTAGTGTGGATTAGGTTGGGTAGGCCTGGTCGACAACCGGGCCGCGGGGACGCCAAGCCCCGGAAGCACCTCAAGGGTATGATTGGGTAGGCTTTATAAACCGTTGGGAACCATCTTATGAACGATATCTTTATACAGTAGCTAGTTTGCATGCTTCAGACGAAACTTCACAAACAAGCTCGTTTGTTCAATTTTTATTTCAGTATGAGCTTTGCAAAACGCTTTTAAAATATAAGTGTATTATTTTGGATAATATTTACAAGTAAATAAGTAAAATAATAAAATTACGATAATGTAAATTGCTTTCTTCATATTAATGTTACCTGATGATGTAAAACTAATAGGAAACAGAATGACCCTTGACATGACCCTTACATGCCAGAGTTGGCATGTAAATGATTACTAGGCTTTATCTAGGCCAAAAGCCAATTCACAAGAATAGGAAAATAATAAGACTTATTACAATATAATAAAATGGAGAGTACACATTCCTGTATGGAAGGAGCAAGCCATAGATGCAATTTCAGATATAATGCAACACGCATACATCATAGTTAAATACAGCAGCTTAACGTCTAATCGACATTTGTGGACAAAGGAGCCTAACTTGAGACCCTAATTTGAATATGCAGCCCCGAATGATGTGGGCTCTTACCTGAGAAATAAATTTTTTTTTTAGAAAAAGTTCAACATTATACAAGGCTAGTTTCCAAGCTACGAGGAAAGACATAGAAATGGATCGTACAATACAGAATAACAGAAATAATTAAGAGGTTCAAACCCCCCCCCCAAAAAAATGTACAGTAATACTAAAATTCTTGTAATATAGTTTGCAATACGCGCTATATGATGACTATTGAATCAATGTAAATATTTGTAGTATACAATATGATTATTTGTCTACTGCATGGATATGAGCCCCTTGAAGGACAGAAGAAAGAAATAGCTTAACGATACTCTATCCTTTTGGGATGTATTATCGAGATGTTTATCATCTTAATAAACTTACTTGAACAAGAATACTAGGACCATATTAACGAAACAGCTTTAAAACCATAGATGTTTTGAAAGCCGTAAGACGAGGCAAGTTGATAAAACGTGTACGAATGTTAATGGCATTTGAACTTTTTAGTCTGAATTGCAGTTTATTTTGATACAACTGCAAAGGTATCCGATTCACTAAGGTTTCTATCTGAAATGACCTCGAAGTAAGTGGTGCACGACTAAGTGAGACAGCCAAGTTCGAACAATAAACAGGGCAAGGTTGCCTTCAAGTTAAACTTGTATGGGCAATACGTATCCTAGCCAAAGCCATCTCCCACTGTATTACAATGGTAGGAGGAATACCAAGGAAATGGGTTACCTTTAAGTGTGTTATTTGTAACACCAGATCAAAGACCCTGCGAAGTCTGAGGAGTAATGTGTAAAAATATGAAAAAAAAGTCCCCATGGGACGTGAAAATAAGTACCAATTGCCACCGTAGCGACGGTGTCCTCACATTCATTTAAAGTAGTATATGGGTGGGAACCCAAAATTCAACTATCTTAATCCTACATAAACAAGATTCATACAGTTAAACGAGTCTAGAGCCATGGACACCGTGTCAACCAAAATGACAAATGAACGTTGACGTCGGAAAAGCAGTTGGCGAAGAGCATACAAAATTGCATAATGTTCTGGGGTTAAGTTGCAAGTCTCTGGAGACAGGTGGCACATACAGGTTTTGGTCAGGCATCACAACGGAATAACCAAGAGTCGACAGACTTTAACCCATCTGTGAATGACGTAATAGATTGTGAATGCAAAGAATAGGTGTTGAAAAAGTTATGTCATAATAGGAGGGATACAAGCCTTTACCATCTGGGTCAATATCTTGCAAAAGCTCCACAAGTGAGAACCTACATGGTGGCAAGATTGTAAACAGGAATCAAGTTGAGGTAGCTCGAGATAACAGTGATCAGCTTTAAAGTACTCTTTAGTTATTTTCGAGAAAACGCAACACCAATCTCCAGTCAATAACATACAATGTCGTATTGGACAAATATTTCTTGTAAAGTAACATTAAAGTTACTTTTGATTATTTTGGTAGCGACAGCAGGATTTCGACCTCATGGCAAAGGAACGACATTTAATTAAAATTCTTTAGTCAAGTAAGCAACCATCACAATTACATATTTTAATAAATACAGAACTCAAGCATCTAAATACATCAACAAAATCAAATATTTTATGCCTTTATGTAAATGTAAACTTTAAATTAAGTCCACATCTCATTAACTATTTTGTACCTGGGAAGCAAGTCTACTCCCCACAGTCACTTACACATCTTGCAAAGTTTGTTAACCACCACCTACTGCAATCTGTTGAGGTCAAGTCAACTTCCTAGTCTTGCCTGTATCAACACTAATAACCAACCTGCTTGCCAATACAGGTACAGTAGTTTCCACTTCTATTACACCACAAGGAGGAATAGTAACTACACACTAGTGTAAAGAATAATGAAAATAGTACACACTCAAGTTGGACACTTTATTAAAAATATTTTTTCGGCTTTTAGTTTTTTTAACGTGACGAATGTAACAATTGGAAGCCCCTAATAAGAGAGTGCTTAAACCTTGTTAAAGGCTGCTACATCTACCGATTGCACAAAGTCCTCAAACTCTTGTATCTTCTCAATAAGGTCGTCAACAGACACTTTGGCGTCCTCCACCGTGCACAGGATGCTCAGCTTCATGATACCGAAAGCCAGAGGATTTAACTTGCCTAGTAAAGAAAAAAAAATGTTAAATCAATTTTTGTTTGCATCCAAAACACTAAACACATGCAATTGCACAAAGTTATCTAATGTTGTCAATGTTTATCATATGAGTTTTCATAGAATTTAAATCAGGATAAGCTATATATTGAAGTATAGAATACACACTTAGGTATGATTTGTAGCCAACAAGAAAGTATTTGCCAAACTGGCATATAAAGACACAGAATAATATAATGTGAACAGGAAGGTGCAATGTTTAAAGAATCCAGTATTAGAATAAAAAAAACATTCAAGATACCTTATTTGTTAGAAGACGAGACATTTTACTATAACAAACGTACATATATATTGTATTTACACACATTTTGTTTTCCTCTACAAAACAACTTTATGATCACATTCAAACATACAATAAAAGTTCCCAAAACATACCTTTGTAAATTAGGTACCAGAAAATACAATAGGTTTTAAAGAATGTTCAGCAAGTTAATATGACAAAAAAGAAACAAGTAACCTTCTGGCTGTGGTAGACTAGCACTTCCTCCAGGATCAATCAGTACTAGAAACGATTGCCTAGTGCTAAAAATTAAAATGCTAAAAAAGTTTTTATAGCTCTAATAGGATTTAACTGCCACATGCCAAATTAGATGCATCATTAAGATCATTATGTGCAAGTTATGCCTCTATCCACAACTGATTAAGTTTTATGTGGATACTGAAAGAACTGCCCACCACACAACACACACTACTACTACTACTACTAAAACTGAACGAACCACTACCAAAACAGCACACCCTGGATCAAGGTGGAGAGGAGGAAGAACTTCCAAAGCCCACCAGAAGTGACACGCAATAAGGGAAATCATTCATATGTGAAAACATACAATGTCTAAAGTCAAAATAATAAATAAAAGTTCATAAATGGCCTTCTAATAGAATCGAACTCAATATTTGGTGCATTCACAGAAACTCTCACGTAAGATTACATGGATAGTAAAATCTTGGATCCCAAATCATAATCTATTGATGTGATTATAATCTATAGAGTAATTAAGAGAAGTGGAGTAGGAGGTCTATATATTAAAGAGGAACTGGCATGCACAGAGCTCCTGAACTCTACCAATGAGGTGGTAGAGGTACTTTGAATTAGATAATATAAATCTATTATTCTAATACACAAACTGGCAGATGCAACAGTTGAATTCACAGCAGATACACAATAGAGAATATCCTTAATAACCTAACAAACCCAGATCAGATAATAGAAAAGATTTTTCTATTATCCGTTACCTAAAAACTATCATTATCTAAAAGATTAGATTGAAGTCCTTGGAGACTTCAATCTACCCAGTTTAAAATTGAGGATAGTAGACAATAACATTAAAGCAGGAAATCAACCTGGAAATAACCAATCACAGGTCAGAGAAGTACCGAGATTATGTGATAAATTCTCGCTCAATCAGCAGATTACAGAACCAAGTAGGAACGAAAACACACACTAGACCTGATATTCACAATGATGAGCCAATCGGAGATATTACAATCTCGTACTACATACTCAGACCACAAGCTCACGGAAGTGCAAACAATAATGGTAGTAGGACCAAGAGAAACAACAAATAAGAAGGGTTAATCAATTCAATTTCAACAATAAGAGGATCAACGGTGAAAAAAATAACCTTGTAAACATTCAATGGGAAATGGTATTAAGCAACAAAACTGGAGAAAATGAGCACAGATTACTGTACAGGAGAAGGAATAAAATCACGGAAATACTTAGACACGACTATCACAATTAAGGAAAATAAATTTAAACAGGGAGATTGAAGAAATAAGAGTAGACGCTGAAGCGATCATACGAGTGAGGAAATGGAATTGGAACAAAGTTATACAAGAAAAATCCAAAATATTTTTTCACATGCAAATTCAAACACCTCCATCAGTATTGGACCTTTACTTACAACTGAAGATATGTCGTACACAGAGGACAACGAAGAAATTAGAGAAATCTAAAAGGCCAGTATGAGGCTATGTTTAGCGCCCCAATAAACAACACGAAAGTTAAGGATCCAGACAGTTTCTTTATGAATGACATCCATGCTGCAGATAATATAACCGATATTAACATGAACTATTTTGAAAAAGAAATTGACACTATGCCCATGCACTCAGCCCCTGGTCCTGACTCATAGAAGTCAGTATTCATAAGAAATGTAAAGTACCAATAGTGCGAGTACAGTGTAATATGGAGAAAGACTGGATACGGGGGGAGATACCAGCAGATATAGCTCTGCTGCACAAGGGAGGTAGTAAAGCTCTGGCAAAAAAGTATAGAACAGTTGAACTAACATCACACACAGTAGTATTTTAGAGTAATTAGGAATCAAATTTCCAGTTTTATGGAAAATAATGAACTTCACAACCCAGGACATCATGGATTAAGAACAGGAAGATCCTGTCTGTCAGTTACTCAACCACTGACAATCACAGAAGCATTAGAGGAAAAGTAAAATGCAGATGTATACACAGACTTAAAGAATACAAAGTGACAATCTAGTAAGATCAAGTCCAAGTACAGTGAAAAACTCTGTACCCCAGGGCACAGTCCTGGCACCACTGCTATTTCACATTATCTCGGATATAGATAAAATATTAGTCACAGCTTCGTGTTAAAACTTTGCAGACGATACAAAAATCAGCATGAAAATTGCCAATGTAGAAGACACTGAAAAAATACAAGCCAATATAAATAAAGTCTTCGATTGGGCAACAGAAAAAAGCATGACGTTTAACAGTGCCAAGTTCCAGGTACAGTGGTACCTTCGTTTTCGAATTTAATCAATTTCCAGAGTGTTCGACAACCAAAACTGAAAACTGAAACGCATTTTCCAGTAATAAATTATGTAAATTGAATTAATCCGTTCCACACACCCCAAAAATAGAAACTTAAAAATGCATTTTATACATACTACTATTTTGTACTACAGTATGTACAAGTATATCTTACGTTTATTGAGGACTTGTTGGCATATAGAAGACAGTGGGGAAGGAGGAGAGGTATTAGTGTTTGGAAGGGGAGTCCCCCTTCCATTATAAAAGCAGTGATGAGATTTCTGGAGTACTGTCATGTTTTGCAGGCATACCAGTAGGAACTGGTCGTGGCTCACTGTTTGCATGTCTTATTAAGAATCTGTTTATCGACATTTTTTCCCCCCAAGGTTTTAACACTTGTCTGTAGTGAGAGATCACATTGTCTCATTATGAACGATCTCGTTTTTTCTTCTAGCGTCACCCTCAACTATTTTCTTAGCTTGAACTTTCACCACCGACTTTCTTATAACCCATGGCATGATATAATAAAAGATTATGTTCAGAAACAAACAAAAAAAAAAATTTAAATTCATCTCAAAGAATTCAAGAGCAATCGTTACTAGGCACGAGACACTGGTAAACTGAAGCATGCCATGTGTTCGGATGGCCCATACATGTATTAAACTAACACAGGCAAACCTCGAAGTCAAATTTTTCGAAGATCTGAAAAATTTTAAAACCAAGGTTCCACTGTACTTAGATATGGTGGAAACGAGGAACTTGAACGAAACATAGGGTACAGGACACAGACCTACTCATAGAAGGGAAGCAGCATGTCATAGATCTAGGAATTATGATGTCCGACGACCTGACATTTAGTGAACGTTACCGAGCAAATATAGCGGCAGCAAGGAAAATTATAGGATGGATTATGAGAACGTTCAAATCCAGGCACCTCACAGCAATGCTAATACAGTACAGTACTATTTAAATCACTAGTGGTGTTCCATCTTGAGTATTGCTCAGTACTCACTTCCCCTATCAGAGCAGGAGAGATCTCTGAATTAGAGGGAATACAGAGAGCACACACATCACGACGAGAAAGTTATCAAATAATGTATACATTGAAGATACCTGAAGGCCAGGTCCCAAATTTGCACAGTAGAATAACATACTGGAGCAAAATAGAACCAGTGAGGAGTAGAGGTGACAGGCACAATTAGAGAGCACTGTCTGAACATCAGTGTCCAGAACTGTTCAACAACCTCCCAGCAAGCATTAGAAATATTGCTGGAATAAAGGTGAATGTATTCAAGAGGCACTTGGACAGGTTCTTGCAAGAAGTGCATGAACAATCAGGCTGTAGTGGATGTTAGGGCCTGTGGCCCACTCCAAGCAACAGCCAGTTGGATCAAGTTATCACAAGTCGAGCCTGGCCTCAGGCTGGGCTCGGGGAATAGAAGAACTCTCGAAACCCTCTCCAGGTATGCTATAATCTTTAATTAGAAATAATAAAGATAAAAGTATTGTGGATTCTAAAACTCAACTAAACTATCACCAAATAGTACTTCTAAGTAATTAATACAAATTAAATGGAATCAAGGATGAGTCTTATATTTTCTTATTTACCATTTTTGGGTATACACATGCAAAACTAAGATATTTAAAATATTGTACTCACTTGCACCCCAGACAAGACCATCCATTGCAACAGTTCGAACTTTCTCTTCCATTTTCTTCATGTCTGTCTCGTCATCCCATGGCTTGCAGTCTAATAAAATCTGGGATTTGGCAATGGGACCAGGTTTAACTGCCTTCTTTGCTGCGTAAGCTGCCAAACGCTCCTCCCTCACACGGGCTGCTTCTGGATCCTAGAAATTATTTGATGCATTCAAATCCTCCTTCCCAATATTTATACTGGCATAATTTCAATATAAACATTCAGATACTATCTAGCAATGCACATTGTACATAGTTCACTTAGCAAGTTAAATCATCATAAAGAAGCAGAATCAAATATTATACTAAAGATGACGAGACTTTTTATCACCCCAATATGAACACTGAACTAACTTCTTCCTCGTCATCATCAGAGCCGAAGAGATCCACCTCCTCATCATCATCCTCCTCCTCAGCAGGAGCAGGAGCAGCAGCTGGAGCTGCAGCACTACTATATTCCACCTTCACTCCGGGGAACTTGGACTTTTCGGCCCCAAAGGAAGCAATGTGGTTAAACCACCGCAAGGCATGTGCAAACTTTACTGCTGGGGCTTTGCCAATGCTTTCATAAACACTCACATCAGCTTGAGATGGCAAAAATCTGAAAAATACAAAAAACTACTTAAGGCTCCATGAAAGATTAAAACAAAAACCATAACCACTTGACTGCGTGTGTGGAGAGTATAGTACCTGTATTTGTTTCAATGCATAATGAAGTACCATATAAGCAAATTATATAATTTATGCAAAGAAAAACATTTTTGGATGTAAAAAAAAATGTCACAATAAGACGGCTGAAACCAGTAACCCAACTCGCACACTAAAAAATGTTAAGACTTAAGGGTCCAAGGTGGACCAAGTAAGTAATTATCAAAAGAAGGCACCAAGTCGGGGAAGGCTATATCAAGGTGGACCAAAACGTCACCACATGGTTCAAATGTTCAAATGTGGGGGTGTCCAAAGTGGGTGCTTTGAGTGCCTAAAAATTATTTGCAATATCAACACTAAATTACCCCAATTGGAACTACAGTACAGTACAGTACTATACCAAATCATATACAGCATGGGGCTAAGTTGGCCTAGTCCCATATATTTCAACAATTGTATACTGTATTCTTCAACCAAGTAATTTAGTTATTTTTAATTTTTTAAGAATTCTAGGACTTTATTCAACATACAGTACTGTAATTTGGCCTACCGGGCATTTCTCACACATTATTTATAAATTGTACACGCCCAGCAACGAACTATAATTTACCCAATTTTTATTTCGGTACACCGAATCAGTACCAACTCCTCACTCCTCTGCCAGGCTTCTCACTCTTCAGCATTGATAACCTTCCCACAGCATCTATCCTCTATGTCCACATTTAGATAACTTTCCTTCCTGCCTGGTCTAACTAGATAACTATTGTTGGCATATATATATATATTCTACTTACAAATAGAAGTATCAAAGATAAATTAATTAAAATCTTTGATAAACTAGAAGGAACACTTCGCTAGTACAAACATTAAATGGACTGGGAACACCTTGCTACTACATACTTAATGGACTAACATTTATACTCAAGTATGTGCCACCTAACTCCAGAATTTCCAAGATTAATGGGGGAGGGACAAAATGTGAACAGAATTATTCAGGGTACAAACCGAAGTACTGTACAATATCCGAGGACCAGCCAGAGATTACCTCGCCCAACCGCATAATAAATAACAGTTCTTTTGTATATCTACCTTGCAAATTACCAGAGTGAAAATATTAGTTTACTTTTTTTATAGCTATATTGACAGATCACATGTGCACATTCACATTTAAATTTTATGAAAAAATTAACTTGACATTCAACTCTCAATTTATTATTAATTTATTGTTTTGCATCCTCTATGCATCCTTTGAAATGTTTAAGACATCAAATGTACTTACAACCCCCCCCACCCAAAAACGGGTACAGTACACACATTTTAGGCATTGCTGCATGGGTTCCCGAGAGACCTGGAACATTTACCGTCAGGTAAAAGGCGAAGAGGGTTACACGTCCAATTTTTGGGAGATCGTACAGGGCTATTAATATCCCGAGCAAAGTTACTACAGTATATTGACAAAGAAAGCTTATAGTGGCACACACTCAACAGTTACACACAAATGAGAATAGCGTGATGCATCAAATGAACAAGTCCACAAGGGCCGTGATGAGGGTTTGAACCTACGTTCGAGAGGATCCCAAATGCCTTAATCGACTGTGCCATGACATGGTTAGATGAATTGCAACCGAGCATTCAACTGACCTTATACCAGATTCTGCAGTATCTCCGAGACAAATCAGGGTTTACACAATTCCCCCATGCACCCGGGCTCTGTCGATAAGCTATTCTACCTCTTCGCCTCTACTTCATTACACTGAAGGGGAATATTGTAAAACCCTGGTTTATGTCTTGGAGTGATTGCAGGATCTGTGTAAGGTTAGTTCAACTCATTGAACAGTTATCCATACACTCAGAAGGGTGAATGTGATTGTGTGGCCAGGATCAAGCCAAAGTCTGATTTACTGTCCAAATAAGAGTTAACATTTGTTAAAATTGTTTGAGACTGGGAAAAATCTAAATCCAAGATCATTTAACGCGGTCAGGTTTCTCCTTGTGATTTATCAGGTTCAGTCCCGTGCATGGATATCTAGAACGACATTACATGAATGGGTTAAACGTCATCTTGTACCCGAGGTAAGGTACTATTTTACTTGCCAGAGTGCAAGTGGTGCCATTGCTTGATAACTGCCTAACATATCCACATAAAGATGAGCTAGTCAAGAGCAATATGTTTGGCACATTCTTGCCACCAAACCACTCCCTTGATCTAACCCATGGCTCAAGAGTAACTTGGAATCTCAAGTCAAGCCTCAAGTCTCAACGTCCACTACCTCCCTCAATTACCATCACCACATTTGCCGTAACATTACCCCACTATATGTGGAGTGACTTAATATCTGGACTCTTGGCAACTACTAACATTAAGTAATAATTATTGCAATTACCAATACTGTACAATATTGTGGCATTTTGTTTGAAGTGAAGCTGTAGTGTAATGTATGTTTGTAAACAAGGCTTACTGATCACCAGGAGGAATGGTCGACGACCGGGCCGCGGGGACGCTAAGCCCCGGAAGCACCTCAAGGTAACCTCAAGGTATCACATACAGAATTCAGCCAAATCATAAACTTGCAATCTTGATTGGAATCTAACTGATCAACTGGAGAATGTATCAAATGTTTATTGCAAATGATACACTACGTGTGTGCATATTTACACCTATGAAAACAATGAATGCATGCTTATATAATTTTGTGGTAGAAATAAGCAACATTAATTCTTTTATGACCATTTTAAAGCACAGGTTGGTCTTTGTTACTTATAGGCAACAAATGCAGCTATAATACATGCCAATTGGGGCAGTTGTTAAGGAAAGACCCAAATTACCAACTCCCTTCTGCAGGAATAAAAGTATCTACACAAAGACGATGCCCCAACAAATTTTGAAACAAAACCAGAGCCCAATACAGCCTAACGCAAGCCAAGATATCCTAGCCTAGCCATACTGTGTACACAGTTTTAATAAAATGAGCTTTGTTGAATTGTTGTATTTAAGAAAGGACTATAACCCTTCTGCAGTTCTATGAAGTAAACCATAATAAAATTTCAATAAAGGCTCATAGTACATATTTAAGGATTCCAAGAAGTGGTTCCAGTGCAAGCAAGGAAACATTTATGCCAAGTAATGAATGGTTGACCAGTTCAAGGTCAAGATAATTTACATATTAAAGTCACGGGTAAGACATTGTGCTGATAAAATGATTAACTGAATTGCCACCTTTGCCAAACAAATTATAAAAATATAATACCAAGTGTTCAATGTTAATGCAAGTCAGCAATATGTAATGAATCTTATGTATTAATTTTCCCTTAAAATTAAATATTAATTTTGGTGGTTGGGAACTTTACTCCAATTTACATCATTGCAAATTGGATGAAAAAAAAAAAAAAATGAAAGCTCATAAAATTGCAATGGAATCTGCAGAAAGGTCAGTGAAAGATACGCTCGAGAAAATCAAACCAATATCATAGTGCTACAGAAGACATTGGTAGGCAATGACCTCAACCCAAGATTCAGCAATTATCAGAAGTCCTCTCTACCCTATGGTGGTGGAAACAGGGTGTCATAAATAAAGCATCAATATACCTACTCAGATTACTGACGATCTTCATATGTATGGATGACTTGGGGCACGCCTCTTCTTGAACAACAATATACTACATGTGCTAGTGGCTTTAGAAGAATGTAAAATCAACTTCATTTCTATGTTCTCTGTTAACCCCCAATGTACCTTCCAGTATATAAATAAAATAAATAAAAATTAAAATATAAATATATACTGTAAACATGTGCCACAAAATAAACTTGATCCGACACATGGCCAGATGTTATGAATGAAGAGCCTACCTTGCTGATCAGTGACCAGGCACCCACTTCTTTAACATAACTAATCAACCAAATTATAACGCAAGGGACCTGTCCCTATTATGTTCGAATAAGTGATGATATTACAGCACTGGGTGATAGCCAGTCAGCACAACTCACGAGTCTGGACTATGCACTTCTGAACGGGCAGGACAGGGAAGCCAGTACACATTATGCACAGTCTCTGCAGTGATCACTGGGCACTGCTTATCACCATCGACACAAGTAAGGAGAAATGCAAATGAAAAAGAAACCATCCCTCAAAGCAGACATGGGGCCCTACTTTATAAATATGATGAGCGGTCGATTCACTGAACATCAAATCCCTGATATTGTTGAATTATTCTATTATTCTATGTGACCTTAATAACCAAATTGAGAGCCGTCTCAATCACATGAATGGTAGGAGGGAATCCCCAAAAGAAAACTAAATGGCATGAAAAGGAGACAGTATATAAACTATAATTTTTCCAAGTGGAGTGAAGCAGCCGCCGCCTTTTCCTTCCTCCCAACAGAAACAAGAAGAGAACAGATCCTGCAGTTAAATCTAAAAAATCTAAACGAGGACGAACTACCCACGTCATTTACATAATTGTAGATATAGATATGACCAATCCCTACAATACAGGGGACAGCCCCGCTCCTGTGCCAGACAAGTCCACTACGGGCTCACCATAGCCCGTGCTACATGGAACTTTTAGCTAATAGCTGAATCTTAAACAACATCCCTACAATAACCTTTAGTGCACGACTCGTGTGTCTGACTCTGGGTGTGGCCACTCCACACCCTAAGCAACAAATCCAGCTATACAAAAAAATCAGGAGAAATTAGAGGATCCTTCGACAAACCACCGGCTTCCTGTCCTCGTCGAGGCCACTCAAGACAGCAGTCATCAGGTAAATTCAGGCAATTGTCCCGTTAAAATTGACAGCTGGCCGCCGGGTTAAACAGATATGAAGTTACGTGGCTGTTTAAAAAAACACTACACCATTATTTCCTAACTAACCAAACGTTTGGGTTCTCAAGAGCAGTGAAGAAGATCTTAAGGAACTATGTATCATCTCCCAAGACGCCTGGCCTGAGGCCCGGCGGTGCCCGGGGACGTAAACACACACATGGCCATTCCTGCCCACGCCGACTCCTTCACATTTGACCAATTTTACACGCGAATACTTACCCATCGACGTAACTTTTGTCCCCTAAATAATCGTCGAGGGCCTTGACGCCATCCTCGCTCTTCAGATTGCCGAAATTAGTCATTTTGATGGTTTTATTCGACTAAATATTAGCGCCCTGTGCTTGGTCCTGCCAATTCGGCAGCAGTCAGACGGTCAGAGGCCCGCCACGCGTCCCGACACGTCCACCATGACTTCTTAGTTTGCATTGTTTCTACCTCCCACGAGTCTCTATAATCATAATTTGCTATCTAATAAACAGGGTGTATCTATATTAATCATGTATTGGGTGCTTTATCTAATATACATGTATTTTTTATACACGAACAAATTTGGTTATATTAGGAAGCTTAAGCCAGAGTCATACTTCGATCGCCAGTCTATCCTTAGAGAAGGTGGCTGGTTGGTTCCTAAATATATACTTAACATAATTTTAAAGAAAATCTATTAACATGTATTAAAATCATAAATATCGGTCAGTGGAAATTTTATTGTATCTTATTTGCCTCTCAAAGTTCTCTACCCATCTTATGAAGAAGCTTCTAAAAATAGTTTAGCAACCGGTAAAGGACAAAATTTTTATTAGCATACTACGGGTTTTCTTATATTAACAAGTTTAGGTATACGCAGCAATGTGCTGCTATCCTATCATGTATGAAATATGTTTTCCCATTATCGAGGACATGTGGAGTGAAAACACTAAGCCATTACGGCTATATAGCACTTGGAATGGATCTGGAAAAGTAGCAGATGGACACCCTCATAAATACTGTCAAGCAGATAGCAGGCCGCGATAGCAGCCACATAGCTAGGACTGACGATTTAAATGCGAGCACAGCACGCAGTATATCCTTTCACGAATAAAGAGCACATTCACTCTAAAACATTTACCACTTACGGGCTATTCATCCCGTGCCACCTCTTGGGTGGCTTTATCTTCATCAATCATCTGGATAAGGATTTGGGATGGGACGGGAGGGAAGGAACGGTGCCCAACTACTTATTAGACGGTCGGGGATTGAACGCCACGGGAGACATCTCCCGTCACGTAGGCTGCAGTCGCACCTCCACAGATCTCCAGTATCATTTATTGATACTGGTGATGGCTCAAAAGGGCCACCACTTACGGGCTATTCATGCCTGTGCCACCTTTTGGATGGCTTAATCTTCATCAATCAATCATCATTGAACGCCGACCTGCATGAAGCGAGACGCTCTACCGTCCACTTGGGCTGACCATCCCAAGGATGCCACTTTTTTTTTTAAACAAATTTACTTATAAATAAATTTACCTGAGGGCCAATATCTCTCTCTAGTGGCCTCGACGGGGACAAAAAGCTGGAGGCGTGTCAAATGTCCTCTTCATGATTTTTGCCAGCTGAATTTTGAGTTGAAAGTGTTGAGATTTCGGCTCCTCTCTCAAGTGTTCCATATGAGGAACTACAGAGTATGTTGATCAAGAACTAGCTATATTTAATATCATTATAGGTAATTAGCTATAGCTATTGTTAGGGTGACCTGACAGCTGAGTGGACAGCGCTTCGGATTCGTAGTCCTGAGGTTTCGGGTTCGATCCCCGGTGGAGGCGGAAACAAATGGGCAGTTTCTTTCACCCTGATGCCCCTGTTACCTAGTAGTAAATAGTTACCTGGGAGTGAGACAGCTGCTACGGGCTGCTGCTTCCTGGGGGTGTGTAACAAAAAGGAGGCCTGGTCGAGGACCGGGCCTCGGGGACGCTAAGTCCCGAAATCACCTCAAGATCTCTATTTCACAGGATTACAGCATGGTTATTCACATACGGCATAAACAAAAATATGCGAGAAAAATATATGCATGCCTATCATTCAAGATAGAATATTTGAAATCAATCTTATGGCTTCTGTGTGGTAATGAAAAGGCTTCAATTGAATTATTGAATGCGCATCTTGGCAATTATGGCTTCAGCGGATAAGCTGTTCCTTGGGTTCATAACTTTACCTGGGAAAGTTCCCGTCTATGCCCAGGCCTTTCTCTCTCATCTCTCTCTCCCTATCCCTTCTCTTTTTCCCATCTCCCTTCTCACATTTTTTGCTTCTCCCCCAATTTCCCCCCTTTCATCTTTCCTCTTCCTCCATTTGTCTTCCCCTCTCTCTTCAACATCCCCCCCTCACCCCACCCTTCTCCCCCTTATCTTCATCTGTTTGTCTGTCTGCATCCCTCGCAGTTGTTCTGTCTGTTTTCTTCCTCCCCCCCCTCTCTCTCTCTCTTTGCCCTACCTAATCATTCGAAGGACTCATGTTAAAGCTTTGCCCACTTACTGACGTCACCTCCAGTATTTTTTTTTTTTTTATTAATAAGCTTAGGTAAACACAGCAATGTGCTGCTACCATATTCTACATGAAAGATTACACAGTGTAGATCAAAAATTTGCTATAAGTTCATCTAATATTCCCATCTCACAAGATGGTTAGTCATATACGGAATAAGGGCGAGAAATTACCTGCCTCAATACAAAAACAAATCAAGTCTGACTAAAAATCAGGAGAGAACATAAAATGTAAGGCTGATCTATTAGCCTCCACTAGCAAAACCTGGGTACAGCACAAGAATATCTTCTTCTGCAAGTGCTCTGGCTATTGGCCCGGCTGCAACTAATGCCTTCCTTCGCCGTTTTTGCCACGGCCACTGATCCCTTTAGCTTTGATGTCCAAAGGGATTGGAAAGGATGGGGGAGGTAGAGGGATGGGGAGATGAAATTCAGGAAGAGGGTGCAGGTGTAGAGAGAGAGAGGTGGTTTGAAAGATCCCTTTAAGCCCCTCCTCCCCCCCATATTGCTACCTTGCTTTTTTTCCGGTGTTCTTGGGTCTGGTTGTCACAAGTGGTTCAATGGGTAGTCGCCTTTAGCCAGCCACCAGCTTGTCCCCAACATGCAGTGTTCTCCATTTCCCTCTCTTCTGTGTCTTGGGTGGAGTTTCGGGCTCATGGGTTCTGGAACTCTACTCTAGATGTTTCGCAGCTCAATATCTGGTCCTTATTCCTGGATTGCTCCCTCCAAAGTTTGTCATCCTATTTCTCCACATTGTGGTCTTTTTTTATTATTGTTCCAGTGATAGCCAATGCGCGGGTAGAAATAGCCTTAAGCTACTCTATCCTTTTTGAGATATACTTTCTTTTCCCAGTAAACTTATTTGAACTTGATAGCCCAGGGAACCATCGAGGGGAATTCCTGGAAATCCAGCATTGAATGTAATGACACTTTTTCTGGTAGATCTCAAACTGACTCCTATTCCTGCCCTTCCGTTCTTTTGTGGTACTCGGGTTGTTGCAAGGGCGGTATGCGAGTGATGGATCTGGCTCATTGATACCCCTCAGGTGGGTATCAAGTGTTGCTAATTAGTGGTTACTTGCTGCACATGAACATGGGCATGTCTGTGTCAGGATTACCAATGTTGTTTATGCAGTTACTTGCTTTGTTGCAGCCTTCCTTATTGGTGGTTTTTCTTTAGGGTACTATGGTCGTCTAGTACCCAAGATGTCTCTTGCCCCTACTGAGGGAGCCATATACTGGTATTGGGCCCCCCATTAGACCTCTGTAGATCTTAAGAGCTTGGTGTGATAATGTAGGTTTGGAGCTTACCAGCAGGTGGAAAGATCTGAGAGGCACCAGAAACAGGCTTCAGTATTACATTCAATTCTGTACATTTCTTGACACCATCAGCAATAATAACTAAGGAGGCAAATGTAGTAGAGCTCCCAGTCATTTTCTCATATTTTGGCAATTTGGTGTGTGTGTTGAGTGATTATTGTATAATAATTTGTTGTATGCGAGTTATTTTTTAACTCATCAATATTTGGATTGAAAAGTGTAAATAGTATTGCTGATAAATAAGCAATGCCAGTCATCCATAGCAACACCACACTGCTAATAATATAAATAAGCAATTTATTGCCTCTCATGAATTGAATAATGCTCCTCATTATTTTAAAATACTGTGCGCTGCTTTCACCAAGCTGTGTACCTTAATATACTTCATGTCGTCCACACTCCTAGCTCCCTCACACACTTATGTCTCTACCTTCTGTCTGGCTTTCCTCTTCTCCTTTGATCCTCAAATTCACTTTAAACATGCTTTTCAGATTGCCCATTTTTACTGTTCTAACTCATGATTTTTCACAATTATACAAGATCATCATATAGAACCTGTACATAAAAATTGGTCCTACCATTCCGTGCAGATCAACGTCTGCATTTATTCCCATCATTGCACAAGCCGCTCTCCTTATCCAACTTGACCTACTCTTATCGAGCATCCAAATAGAAAAATTTATGCCATATTTATTACAATAGTGAATGATGAATTATGAAGAATATGAGTAGGCCTTTGTAAACTGCCTTTTCTTCTTGCTCAATTTGCAGCCATTTCTGATGATCAAACCAGAAAATGATGACCATCAGAAAATGAAGAAATGACAATGTTTTGGTCCATCATAGAACATTGTCAAGTCGTGTAATGACTTGATAATCAAATTCTAATTAGCACCTATAAATATTATCAAGTACAGTAATATTTGAATTTTTATAAAAAAAATGGTAAAGCAATTAAGCTCTCATGATAACACACACACACACAATTATAAAATTGTTTCCATTATATTTCACAAGTGCAACATATTCTTCCTGGCTTGGCACCTTCTTTTGATAATTAATTGTATTACACAATAATGTACTCGTATCATATGTATTTTATTAAAATATCAGCAAGTTTTCTGCAGTAGTACAGAACAAGCACAACACAATGAGAAATAATTCTTCCTTGTGTTTTTTTTCTAATAGTTTGTGCCTTCAAAGTATAAAAAATGGCTATTATTTCCTCTGAAACTTTGCCTCAGACAATTTAGGAAATTCATCTAGTAGCTACTTGAAGGCTGCCAATTCCTTATCTAGAGCTGTGACACAATGAAGAGTTCTGCGCTAACTTTTACTAGTAAACACTTGTTCATCAATCCTCGTCACTCCATGGAAATCAACTTGTATATGAGGATAGTACTGTTGATCTTTGTCACCTATTTGTCTTTGTCGTTCCATATCGTTTACCTCTGAATTGAATGATCAAGATTCTCACCTTATTCAAAGTCTTGTCCCATACCTCCAGACAGGCAAAAAGCTCACTTATTTGCACTCGTCAATTGTGTTGTCTAAACGAGACAATGGCTGTCCCCATATATTCAGCGGCTTCACCCTCAACCACTAATTGATGCTTTGGTGACTCCGATACCTTTAGTATTATATACCTTGTCTTTTTGTTCTTGCAATTTCATCTTGAATGATGTCTAGAAATTTTCACTATGTAGCACCATCTGCTGAACAGACTTGGTGCCTCCATTAAAAAATTACTTTCATGCTAAATACGAATTTGCCTTTAAATTTAAGCATGAAATTTCTGAATGATAATTTTTTCTTTACAGTGTAAAACTAGACGAAAAGGATATTGACACCATATTAGTTATAAATTCCTATAATTAGGACAATCTATACAAATAAAATATAGACATCTGTACAGTGTTATCTTTTAAAGAATCTAAATTGATGAAAGTCAATGTTTACAATCTTGCTGAAATGAAATCAAATGTCTTCAACAAAAATTCTTCAATAAATACATCACCTAAAGTACCGGTAATTCAACAACTTTTCAAGTTTTAAATTTCAACTAACTTTGAAGCAGAACCCTTATCCAGTAGTTCCTAAACCTGCTAATTTTGTCCCCAGAGAAAGACAAAAACATATTAGATACAATACAGAATGTATTATCATTGACTTGCCTGGAGAGGCCACTAATTTATACAAGTTCTACTGCAATACACAACTTTTCCAAACTATTCTTTAAGCAGAAAACATTATTCAACGTATTTATTTGCCGTTTCTTTCTTAACTGCTGCAATGCATTTGGCCATTGTTGGAGAAGCCCGCGTAATGGAATTCGTCATGTAGAAATCCTCCAGTTTCTTCTGTGGAACATCGATTGGGGCTGCAGCCTGTTTGCCAGTCACCAGCTGATAGAAGACAGGGAAACTTGAAATTTTATGTTCAATATTAGTGGGGTGGTGGGGGAGAAGAGTGGGAAGGAGGGAAGGAATGGCAAGGAAGGGGTAGGAATGGTGGGGGCAGGAGTAGGAAAAGGGAGGGAAGGGGGAGGAAAATAGAGGGAAGAGAGAGGGCAGGGGAAGAGGGAAGAGTGGAAAAGGGGGGTGGGAAAGTAAAAGGTGGTAATGGATGTGTATTAAATGCAGATGGAATAATGTTGGTGTACGGTGAAAGTTGCTGCAAGAAGAGGTGTAGAGGGTGAAGTTGCCTCCAACATATCGAGTAACCAGTCCCAACATGAAATTTTCCCGACAAGCTGACGACAACACCAACAGTCCATCCTCTACATCCTCATGACCACCCATTACCACCATCCCTACTTGCCAATTGGCCCCCTTCTGCTTGCCAATTGGCCCCCACCCATCAACACTGCCACGTTAAACAAGGTTCACCTGTATCGTTTATCAAGTTACCTGTGCAAGATCAGAAGCTTGGGAAAAGTAGTTTGCTTCTTCTACATCCCCATAACGTGTCAAATTCGGTGATACTTCCGTCATGCGATTACGAACCTCACTAAGATTGTCATAAGGAAGCTGGATACCTGCAATCTGGAAGAAAATATAAAATATTTGGATAAATCAAAATTATACTGTACACTAAAATTTAATTTATATACAAACAATCCTAATTTGAATATTTACAGCTGATCACAGTGGAAGGAAAATAGTAAAAAATTGTGTACAAAATTATTAGCCTTTCCATTATAACTTAATATGGTAATAATAAATACAAGTTCTCAAGTACAGTATGAAACACCCCCTCAAAAGCAGGTCCAAAATTTTCTGCATACCTCTGAAAGAGCTCGGATGATCTTCCAGTCTTCACGAGCCATGCCTGGAGAGACCAAGGCAGCTCGTGTCTGTTGGGCACGTCCCTCTGTATTAACATATGTAGCCGTCTTTTCTGTGTAGGCAGCTCCGGGAAGTACCACATCTGCCATTTCTGCTCCCTGGTCTCCATGATGACCCTAATAACAATAAGTTAGTTTAATTGTATATTAGATTTATAATAAATAAAAATAAATGTGCTCTTTCCAGTTGTGCCAATTAATTTTTTTAATAACATTTTTGAATCTCCATTTTCTAATAGAAATATGGTCCAATTAACTCAATACAAAGCATAAGTGTTTCCAAGACATGTACTGTAGTATTGTTATAAACACCACCAACAGGCACCTATCCAAGGATAGTGTTTTTAGCCTATGGAGACAGAAGGGAAGGGGACTAGTAATCTACATTCTCATTATATTTCCAAGAGGAAAATTTAGTTTTTTCATGCAGATTGTAACATGAGAAGTTACAATAAAAAAAAGTACATACTGTAAACAAATAATTACCAAAAAAAGACAAATAAAAACCCATTTTTATTATGTACCTATAATATAAAAACTGTGTCAAGTAACTCAATACCAGGTCATATGCGTTTCTAAAGCTAGAATTTCATCATACATACCACTAAGCCTACTCAGAATCAAAATAAGTGATTAGTTGAAAGGAAACCAGGCCACCTCATTATTCAATGCCTCCAAGTCATCATAAGATAAGAAGAAGCATCGGCTGTCGAGTTTCGCCAAAATGCAATGGTCCACCAGTGAGCCGGTCGGCCGAGCGGACAGCACGCTGGACTTGTGATCCTGTGGTCCTGGGTTCGATCCCAGGCGCCGGCGAGAAACAATGGGCAGAGTTTCTTTCACCCTATGCCCCTGTGACCTAGCAGTATAATAGGTACCTGGGTGTTAGTCAGCAGTCACGGGCTGCTTCCTGGGGGTGGAGGCTTGGTCGAGGACCGGGCCGCGGGGACACTAAAGCCCCGAAATCATCTCAAGATAACCTCAAGATAACCACCCCAGTATCAAGTGCTGAAAGATGCTCAAAAGGAGCATCCATTTTTCTTGGGGGAGGAAAATATCACAAGCAATTACTTGAAAGCAAGGGGGGTGAGGGGGATGGGAAGGGAAGTAATTATCAAAAGAAGGCACCGAGACACAAAGACTATGTACCACAGAAAGCAGGGGGTTACAGATGACTCCAGCTGGGCCTTGGGGCAACTTGAGCAAACCCAAGCCCCTCAGTAAGAGGAAAAGGTGAAGTAGCCAGGTACTTACCTCCTGGCCATAGTAGCAGCAGTTTCCATTTATATTTCATTTTAGCTATTTTTCCTTTTTCATATCCACAACACTTTAAAATAATTACCATGCTTATCTATAATGCATTGTCCTTAACTTTCTTGGTAACTCTCATCTTGACCTCTTAGACCCATTCATTTATACAATGACCAACCATGGAGAAATTATACAGCCTTGGCATATTTCTACATTTATATCAAAGTGCTACTCTGAGCATTTCAATTCCTATTCATGATCTGGTTCCTTCATAAAAAAAAAAAAAACTCACTGCATTAAACATTATTCCAACTCGACAAATTTAACACTTTGCAACTTTTGTCTATTTTATACTTGCTCCAGAATCTCAAAGACACAAGAGGACTGGAAAATATCCGACTCCCAAAACCCCTTCCACTAGAAAGTCCACTTTAGCATTAGCTAGCGCACTATAGGAATATGTACCTGATAGATCACAAGGGTGTCCTTGGGAAGATCTTCTCTGGTAATGGCACCTTCATCAGCACCCAGAAGATACAAGACCTTTGGAGGAGTGTTGCGTATATCTGCCACGCCTGGAGTATAGCCTAGATCAAGAGCAGCAACTTGTGAAGCCACTCGTTGCAGAACATTCAATACTCGCCATCCAGTTCCGCCTTCACAACCACTGCGCAGCTGCAAGACACATTATGTTTATTAATATTGTACTGGTAACTAACAAAATCTGTGACACCTGGTGATACACTCCAGGTCCATCTCATCATTCTTCAACTTTCTCTGCCTCCATGTTGCCCTTTAAGCAACGTTTTCAAAATGATTTTATTTTTGTCATTTGTGCTGTTCTGTCCTTTCCTGTGTCTTCAATTTTTTTATGAATACATGTCTATTAAGGTAATCAAAAGAGGTACTAAAGTATAAATAAAAAAACAAATAATAATTTTTTTATGGGAACAGGAAGGCTGTGTATATACGTACTTTAGGTTTGTATCGATGTATCCCCAAGGTTGAACTACTGACCCTCCCCAAGCTGCAACTCCACAACAGTTGCCCAACTCCTAGGTATATATTTTCTGCTCAGCAAACAGGTGCATTAGGTGAAAGGAAATGAGCCCAACCATTTCTGTCCCGCCTAGGAGTTGAACGCCGGATCCGAGATTGTGACTTGAGAACTACTATGAATGCCACGTCTGAACCCAGGAAACACCACCTGTTTTTACTTACCTTCTGGGACAATTGCAGAAGCTGAGCATACAATGCACCGCCATCGGGACGAGCCAGGAGTGAAGTTCCAACTACAATCATTGGTCGTTTAGCAGCTGCGAGACGTTTTGAGAATGGATGGGAGCCACTCAAAAGTTTTCCAATAATGGATGGATCGTCTCCCAAGTGCTGGAAATACAAACAGTAAATACTGTATAACCAGTGTTGCAGTATTACCAATATTAACTCATGTTTTACAAAATTAATCCAGATCTCTAACCAATTCTAGAAAACCAAACATGTTTGTTTAATTTACAAACAACAAAAGAGGAAACAAAATGCTAAGAAATATTAGCAATCACAAATACAGTACAGTATACCTTGAAAAAAATGTATATTAGTTTAGTCAATCTGACCAACCCATTTAATACAGCACTTTGAATTACTGTTTATTTATACTAATTTATACATTAAAATAGCTGTATTATACTGAATATGGTAACATATAAGATTTCTAAAGATAAGGTTTTCTCTCATTATTTTCTTTTACTTATGTCTTTCAGGTACAGGTTGTGTTTCCTACTACACAAGAAGTACACAAACTCTTCAATTTCTTTACTACCTTGAAAATGTTTGGTGAGGATTTTGAACTATACTCCCAAGAAAAGGAAGCTTATACAAGAATCATTCCAGGATCAAATATTCAACAATTTATGGCATTTTGTAGACATTACCAAGAGTGCCAACGCACAGTGACACTTTATAACTGGAACAGCATAAATTGTTACAAAAAATCAATACTAGACTATACTAATGCTTGGGAGGCACTGGAAAAAAGAGAGCTCAATCCAGCCAATATATACAGAAAGTATACTGCTTTGGTATCTTGCGTAGCTTCCCTCTACCAAAAATTCCAGTACATATAAAATGTACAGGAACATATATATACTGTATAATCAATATAACTATTGTCCTTCAGAGGATTTGAACCCAGGCTGCCAGGGGTCATCCCACCAACACCACTATTACCTTGACCACTGCACCAGAGATCACTGGTGCAGTGCTCATATTTACCTAAGGGCCACTAAAATGTGAGAGAAATTATAGAATAACCGCTCTCCCTCAAAAATTAATAATAAAATATCCTCACCTCACAATCATAGGTAAGGTCCACTTTTGGTCCAATCATAGCAGCATCAAGTTCATTGTATGTCCATGCTTTACGAACTCGGGCATTGAATAGTGGAGCTTCAAATCGAGGATTGGTACCAACAAATACAATCAAATCAGCTTCCTCGACACCAGTAATTTTTGTATTCAGTAAGTAAGAAGAACGAAGGTCAGTCCCAGTTCCAGCATCAGGGAAGATCTGTATAAAAAGTGAAAACAATTAATATTTTGGTGTATGAAAATAGTTCAGTAACTTTATGATATAGTAATTTTGATTACCATCTCTGCCTAATCAGGTACAGTTATCTTGAGATGATTTTGGGGCTTTAGTGTCTCCGCGGCCCGGTCCTCGACCAGGCCTCCACCCCCAGGAAGCAGCCCGTGACAGCTGACTAACACCCAGGTACCTATTTTACTGCTAGGTAACAGGGGCATAGGGTGAAAAAAACTCTGCCCATTGTTTCTCGCCGGCACCCGGGATCGAACCCGGGACCACAGGATCACAAGTCCAGCGTGCTGTCCGCTCGGCCGACCGGCTCCACTAATAGTATAGTGTTTCTGGCAATAAACCTTTCTGTCATGCCATTATGGGGTCCAGCATCACTCCCATACACACTGTAAACCAGTAGACACAGGGTTTCGTAGTTCTATGGGGCCCCGGGTTCGATCCCTGGTGGAAGTGGAAACAAATGGGCCAAGTTTCTTTCACCCTGTTCACCTAGCAGTAACTAGGTACCTGGGAGTTTGACAGCTGCTACGGGTTGCTTACTAGGGATGTGTGTGGGGGTGTTAGAGAGAGATATATGTAGTAGATATAAGAGAGGATAAATAGATTGGTTAGGTTTATCTCCCGACCATCACAATTATAATTGTGTTTGTGTGTTATCACTAGAGCTTGAGAATTCCTGTACCAAATTTTTAGCTCGGGGTCCAAGAGCTAAAAGCTCGATCCTGCAGACAAATGGCAAATACACTGCCAAGTAAATAATAATTTATAATTGATCACTGGCATTTGTACATACACACCAACCATCTTATCGTTTCATTCAAGAAACGCCAAGCAAAAATTATTATGATTTGATTAATACGCCCGAGACTGTTCAACACGCTTCCACTACACATACGGGGCATAACTGGCAATCCCCTCACAGTGTTCAAGAGAGAACTGGATAAGCACCTCCAAAGGATACCTGATCAACCAGGCAGTGACTCATACGTCAGGCTGCGAGCAGCCGCGTCCAACAGCCTAGTTGATCAGTCCAGCAACCAGGAGGCCTGGTCGACGACCGGGCCGCGGGGACGCTAAGCCCCGGAAGCACCTCAAGGTAACCAGCAGTCCAGCTGCAATATATGTGCAGGCCAGGCTTGCCAGGGCCAATTCATGCATAAGGCAAACAAGGAAGATGCTTCAAACAAGATTCTGATGATTTTCCTAACTAGGCACAAGAAGTAGGCAAACAAGGAAGGCCACTAGGGTGGCAAACATAATGAAGAGGAAAAGTATGTATGAACTAAGAAGAATACAAATTTGTCATAGACATGAGCAAAGTGAGGAGGTTCAAGGGCTTCACACACAAGTTTTGCATAATACACAAAAATATCCCTACACTTAATTAGGCTGTTGGCAATCTTGAGAGATAAATGTCAACATAATGACCTGTACATGTGGCACATTTACAGGTCATGTGGCACATGTACAGGTCCTGTGGCACATGTACAGGTCCTGTGGCACATGTACATAACTAGGTATGGGGCCATGTGTGCGCGCTAGTGTTTATATCATTATTTACTTTCCTTTACCATCTTAATATTAATTATAGTTCCAAATGAATCTCATCAATACCACAAATACTAAGGATTTACATTATTGACTCAACTTTTTTCTCAATTAAAAACACTATTTTCTTTCCTGTTTTACTACAGTATACAGTATTTATAACCTTAACTTCCAACGAGGAGGCCTGGTCGACGACTGAGCTGCGGGGATGTTAAGCCCCGAAATCATCTCAAGGTAACCATCTCAAGGTATCCAGTCACTAAAACTGATTACAGTACCTGAGCAGTGCTATGGTCAACATGTGGCCTGGTTGAGGACCGGGCCGCAGGGACATTGAGCCCCGAAATCATCACAAGGTAACCGCAAGGTATGGTATGCCCTATCTTATTAATAATCTAAGTAAATGATCTTCCAGAGGGAACTGACTTCTTCCTCTCAATTCTTGCTGCTGATGCAAAACCTATGAGAAGAATAAATATGGAGAAAGACAGTAAAAACTACATGACTTTGATTAACTGAATGGAATAGTTTCAACATTTAGACTAGATTTCTGAATATAGAAGTCTTTCTATATAGAATATATTCTGAAAAGAATAGTTCAACAAGTGGCTACTAGAATTTAACTTGAACAGATGCATAGTAATGAAGCTGGGTGCAGATAACAAAACCTTTACACAAGTACCAAAGGGGAAAGGAAGAAATCCTCATGGAACTGAAGACAAAGAAAACAGACTTGGGGGTGGGAAGGAGGGGGGGCAATAAATTAGTAAATTTGGCGGGGGAGGGGGGACAATATTAGATTAAATCTGTCCCCCATGAGGCTCACACCCAATGGCAATCGTGTACTGCATACACCACTAGGATAGTGTCACAGCCAAAGAGGTATGAATTACGAGGAAAGACTGACCTCACACTGCTGGAAGATGAATGAGTTAGGGAATGTATGATTACTATGTACAAAATTGGCAGGGAAAATTACAAGGAAGAGGACACATTGTTTAAAATGGTCAAGACACGTGGAAACTGCGTACCCAAGTGAGTCACATACTCTTTGGAAATCATTTTGTTTATGCTAGAAAAACAAACAACTATATACAGCATCTAATGTTGATGAGACAGCAGAATTTGCTCCGGAACCTGTAAACAAGTTGACTGACGGTCAACAGGTGGGACTAATGAGCTGAAGCTCAACCCAGTAAGCATAATTAGGGAATTATAAGTGAGTACAGCATACACACTTACCTCTTCAGTACAAGTAGATTCACCACCAAGGGTATTGACAAGATCCTTCAAAGCAACTAGGGATTCAGCATCAGCTAACCCTATGGTAAAAGATACATTCCGTTAGTACACACTACCAGCCAGAAAATATATCAATACATATAGATAATAAACAAAAGTTAGCAAACTTTTGTGGGTTATATTCTGGGGAAAGGTCAGAAGGTCAGTAATTCAACCTAGGGAAAACCTTAGTACAAGCCTAAGCACAGTACTGTTCCCGACAACAGTAATTATGAAACGGAAGACAATTATTCCACATTAGTCATTTACATGGAATATTACTTTCCAGAGCTTTAAGTAGTTGGTAATACTGAAAAATAATAGACGAATACGGCAGCATGTTTAAGGATAGGGAAATTATCAGGGGAAAGTGTAAAGCAAGGATGACTATACTTATATAGCATGATTATTTCACAGTACAGTTCATCCAATTTTAAATTTAATACCAGTATACATGTTTATATTTGTGAAAGGCCATTAAAATCGGATGACAAACTGGCACCTCTCTGGCTCACCACTAGCGTCTACAGCATATGGCTAGTCTCTTGAACCATGCAAAACTTCAGCTAACCACAAATTTCAGTTAAAATCTCTAATAGTATTGCATGTACAAACTTTACTATACTACTTTTCTTCTATAGACATATCACTCAATTTGTCCCACAGATTAGCCTGAAATGTCATTAAAAGTACAGTGGAGTCTCGACTCGGCTAATGTCTGGTTGGAGCGTACACTTTCCATGCCAGATTTATTCGCCCAATTTGACGAACAAGAATTCGCTGAAGCAGAGGGTGTGGGGTTTTGCTTAGGATGTTGGGAGGGAGTTCACAGATGGAGGCAACATTACAAGAAATAGTTGGGACCTTGGGAAAGCCACTAAGCATTATTAAAATCAAATTCTATGATTCTTTTTTATTTCCAGTTGCAGAGGTTTTTGTTCAGTAAAATATGGGCTCTTTTTCCTTTGAAAATGAGATTTTAGGGCTTGGGCAAAGTAAATATATTAGATGTATTTAAAGGGGTATGCATGGTAACTCATCTCCGATTGCAACAAATACCTCACTGCAACGGACTGGGATTGGTCCCATATAGTTGACGATTCAAGGTTGTACTGTACAGTACTTTGATTACGCTTGAATAAGTTACATAACACCACTCTTCAGCACCCCACTGTTTTATAAGATCCAATGTAATGCTCCCCAAAGATTGTCATTCATTACCTACTTAAATACCAATTCCACCCAGCATTGTCCGTTGCGATATCCTGCGCACTGTTTGCACTAAATACCTGTGCTTCTTCACACACACACTAATTATATGGTTACCTTCATGAAAACGTATCTAAAGAGATCAATGTACAGTATACTAATTTTCATGAAATTCCTACCTCCAGCAACAGCAGCAACAGAACCATTTGCTGCTTTCAGAGCCTTGGCAGCCACAATAAGGGCATCCTCCCACTCACAGGGACGTAGCTCACCAGATGAATCCTTCACCATCGGAAAAACTAGACGCTGTCGCTTCAAGCCATCATAGGCAAAGCGGGACTTGTCTGAAAGCCACTCTTCATTGATATCCTGTTCATTAAAATGGAATATTATGGATCTACAACTTTAGAAAATAAATTGTATTTATTTATTCATTATATACACAATGCATATTCATTGTGCACACAAATATCCATTGAATACTGCAGCTCTACTGAATACGAATTCCAGTACTGTACCTCATTTACTTGAGGTAGGATTCTAAGTACTTCTCCTGTGCGATGATTAACCACAATGTTGGACCCCAGAGCATCCATCACGTCAATGGAATCAGTGCGTCGAATTTCCCAGGGACGGGCAGTGAAGGCATAAGGCTGGAATAACACACTTAATCAGGGACTTAATTTGTTTTCTGGCATCATAAGATTTACCAAAATACATTGAAAACACATTCTTTACATATTCTAAAAAAACATATCAAATATTTATAGTATAGGGAAACTGGTGGGGAAAGGGGCCAATATATTTTCAGATTGTAAGAGTTAGGTATTCTGGTAGCTATTTGTCTAGTTAAATTTGGCAAATTTAAAATATATAGCAAAGAATTACTTTAAATAAATGGTTAGTTGTTAGCCATGGAGGCAACAGCAAAAATAATCAAGACTGATTCTTAAAATAACCACACAACACTTTTTTTTTTAAATGGCTGAAAATTCAAACACCATGACATAAAAGTTTTAATGTGTAGGCTTTGTGTTGATTTAATAAGAATGTTCACAAGCCACTAGCCAACATCACATCTCCAATATACAGTATACAGTACTGAACACATCCTAAACACATATTCAACAATAAACCTGACAATGCCTTAATTGTGAACGACTTCTTGAAATTTGTATATTCCATGCCTTGAATGATTATTAGTATGTACACATTACTTTTCTTACCATGTCCTATTCTTTTCTTGCAAATAGTATCCAACTCGTTCACAATCTTTTGCAAGTCCACCTAACTCTCAGTAGAGATCAACATCATCATCTACATGCAATTATTCCAACATCAATCACTTATCCCCATTACAGTCCACTTCTACTCCTGTCTTCAGGGTTTTCCGGCTTCTACTCTGCAAGTCTCACGTTCATTGAGTACAGACAAAATTCCCCAGTAAGTGCTTCAAGTTTTAATGAGTCACTCAAGATTATAATATGCAGAAACCAGGAGGAAAAAATAAATCATGGTCTTCATACAAGTGAAATATATATTAAAAACTATCAAACAGTTTAGTTCAATTACGATTACCTTTGAGGTGAGAGCTCCAACAGGACAGAGATCAATCACATTGCCTGACAATTCAGACAAGAGCATCTTCTCTACATATGTTCCAATCTGCATGTCATTCCCTCGTCCAGTTGTGCCAAGGTCCTCAACACCCGCAATCTGGTCAATAAATGCATATTACCCATCATCAATCTTAAATATTACCTAAACATGAAATTAGTGTAGTATAATGACTGTTCAAATCACATTTTATGAGTTTATGAATCTTAACAGGTCATGGGAGGTAACAAAGCCACGCTTCCTAGTACACTAAGCTTCCAAGGTTTCCACTCCTCACGAATTTGTGGTGATTGTAGTGCATATTGTGCATAACCTCATCATGGAACAGCAAACGAAAAAGGAGCAAATTTATTGATAAAATAGTTACTGTATATACCGAAGCATCCATTATCAAAATTCATGGTAACCAAATAATTTCTCACATAATGAAACATTGTTTTAATATTTACATGTAAAAATATATCAACAATGAACAAATGCACAAACTAACAAATAATTTACTGCCTTGCTAACTTGTTGCTCATATTGTAGTTTCATCATCACTATGGTAACAAATTACTATGCAAGCTTTTTTGATTTTCCTCATATGATGGAAAGATGTTTGGCAAATATTTATGAGATAAAGTAAAACAAGTGATTATTTATAATCATGTGGAACAATATGTTCTGCAGCATCCTTCAATGGGTGGCATGACATCACACCCGTGAATGAAAGTGTTAGATGTATTGGTACTGGCGTATTAATATGATAGATTAGTAAAATATAAGGAAAAATCCTGGATAATTATATGTATATTCTTAAAAGGGCTATAATAAATAACTTTCTATTAGATACATAATGAAAAAACTCACCTCTGTGGCAAAACGAACACAACGAGTACACTGAATACATCTTGTCATGATGGTCTTAACAAGGGGACCCAGGTTCTTGTCCTGAACAGCTCGCTTGGTGTCCAAGAAACGAGTCCGATCGCTACCAAAGGACATTGATTGATCCTAGGGGGGAAATTTAATATACACTATTAACAATTTTACTGATATTTTCAGTAATGAGTTGCTTATGAGCTCCAGGTCACTAAACCAGAGCAATAAAGTACTGTATCTCTCTGCCATGTATCCTCTGTAATATAAGGCTGATACACAATAATGCTAGGAATAAAATAATTTGATCAGAGTACAACTATGGATACAAAAGTTAAAATTCTGTAAGATTTAGCTGACAGGCTATGTTAAAAGAAAAAAAGTCATTTTTTAAAAAGTAGTTACAGCATGTTCAAGTATTTTTAGATATAAATAAATACCTGTACGATCCTCATTACTCAAATATTGTAAAAGAAAAATAATACTATTGAGACCCATATAAAGAGTATTCATAATAAACATGTGTATTACAAAGCGTCATATGGAAATATGATTATATAAGAAAGATATAATTCAGACTAGACCTCGTGCTCACGCACTCGCTCGCTCTCGGGTTCATTCATGACCTTTAGGGACAGAGGCACAAGCCTCGATTGTAAAAGCTCCTTTCCAAAAACAATTTGCAGTATATATATAATTTTTGTGCTACAAATGTGGTGGTTTAATATTTTATTTCATTTAATGAGCATCATTATGATGAAACAAACAAGCAGTACAATATCACATCCAACCTGACCTTTGACAGAAGCCTTATGAAGGTGAGCCATGTTACGGCTACACTTTCATGAGAGCTAATCTTGACCAGCAACAGTCCAAAGAGAAAATCATCATAAAGAACTGACATTTCTTTTTTTTTTTTTTTAATGAAAATGATGTGCCTGACTGCCTGCATTAGGACTTGCTATCTGGATCATAATGCTCACGACACTATCGTTCAGGATAAAAACAATTCACATCTCACCTGCAGATCACATTCTCCTCCCTGATCACAAATGGGGCAGTCTAGAGGATGGTTAATAAGTAAAAACTCCATGACGCCCTCACGAGCTTTACGTGTCATTTCACTGTTTGTCTTGATGCGCCAACCTTTCATCACCGGCATTGCACAAGCAGCTACAGGCTGGAAGTAGTTTTTGTACAACTGAGTGGTTAAATTTTAGTGCAAAATATAATGCACGTTATCACCTGAATCTTAATGATAAAGTTCCATACCGACACTTGGATCTTCAACGTCATTAAAAGTTAAACATTCCCCACTAATACTTTAAACTGACCTTCCAAGAAGCTGTGGTCTAAAACATTAACAGGGAAGTCTCTAGGAGTATCTCAAAATGTGCTTCTAATACCAACTTCAAACCACATGAACTGAATGACAATACAAATTTTCAAAATACACTCTAAATTGGATTGCAGTTTTGAACAACCTTCACCTAAAGATGCCTCAAGACTGTTCTTGAGCATCTTAACAGATATGAGCACACACAACACAATATACAAACCTGACAAATTCTTGAAATTTTTTTGCATAAAAATAAAATTCCGAGTATAAAATACTATTTCATCTAAGCTTCTTTTAAATATTTGGAGATTTATATGAATCTCTTTTGACTTTAGCTATGCTTCTACAGCACAGAGAACATGAAAAACCAGTACAGCATGAAAAGTACCTATCCAAATGCTCTACAGAAGTATAAAATGCATGCTAAGAGCATTACCAACAAATTTATTATTTAGACCTTAACAATGCAATTGATGCAAATTTAATAAATTTACAGTACCCATTAAAAGTAAATGTGGATAACATAAACATTATAGTGAATGATAAAATTCTTTAAGTAGGAAAAAATGCAAATGGCAAATTTCTGACAATAGTTGATCAATTTAAGTCCCTAGGCTATGCGTAACTGCTAGATGATGTATCTGTATAATGAAAACTGAGAGCAGAGTCAAGGCAGAGAAGGAAAGTGGCTGGTGCAATATAAACCCTGGTTAAGAAAAGCAAGATAGGAACAGAGGTAGCCTGAGGTAGTGATAACTTTTGTATACAGCTAGTGTCAAAACAACAGTGAAGCTTGAATGTTAAAAGTTTGAATTAGAGCAGCAAAAATAGACACTCTGAGAAGAATGTGTCGAGTTAGGAGAATAGAGTAATAAGTAAATAAAGTTAACAAAATAACAAGATTGAGAAAAGTGAGAGAAAGGTTGCAGACAACACACAAAATGGTAAAGGTGCAAGGGATATGAAAGCAGAGTCTTTGTACGTAATGCATGTAATTATTTGTATACAGTACAGTCTTTGTATGTAATGATTACAAAAATTCAGGAGAATCGGTGTACTGGACATCAGGTCTGACGAAACTGTGGAGTACCGCTGTGGATGACTGCCGCTGTGTGGAAAAAGCAGGGTCCCCAACTTACAATGATCCTACTTACACCTGACATTCATAATTACGGCAGCTGCGTGTGCTTTCTCAATCAGCCATTTTATGAATCAACTCGAAGAGCAGTGTGGGATTCAGCATTATCACATTTACTTTAAGTAAAATGCCCCTTAACCCCTACACCGCGCACCTGTTTTTGGCAAAAACTTCAAAGTGAAATTATTAAGGACATATTTGTTGTTTTTATAAATGTTCAGGTAAAGTTAATGTCAAAATGTTTCCAAACTCAACTATTTTCATTTCAAAACACAAAGACTAATGAAAACTTACTGTCTGGTCAACAGTAATGAAAACATTAAAAACATTAAAATATAGCCTAACTAAAAATAAAACAGAGAACTCTAAAAACAACATTTGTTGGCCGCCGCAGTTGAAGGGTTAACCAATGCACTGTGCCAAACAACAAATGCCGTTTTGAGAGTTGAGTTTTTTTTTTTACTTAGGCTATATTTTAATGTTTTTAATGTTTTCGTCACTCTGTTTTTTTGAAATGAAAATAGTTGAATTTGAAAACATTTTGACATTAACTTTACCTGAACATTTATAAAAACAAAAATATGTCCTTAACAATTGCACTATGAAGTTTTTGCCCAAAACAGGTGCACAGTGCAGTTAGTCATGTTTGGCAAGAGGTTAAAGAATGGAAGAGAGGGGAGGGGAGGGGGAGAGAAAGGTAGAAAGAGGGGATGGGGAGAGAGAGAAAGGTAGAAAGGGGGAGAGAGGGAAGATATAGGTAGAAAAGGGAAGGAAAGGGGGGGGGGAGAGAAAGGTAGAGAGAGGGAACAGAGGAAAATGGGAGAAGGTGGAGACTGTGAGAGACTGGTAGAGAGGATGGGAGGAGGGAGAGAAGTAGGGGAGGGGGGATGGGGGGAGACACCCAGGCACAACTGGGAACCTCATCTAGCATATAATTAAGAAATATTTTTTTATTGCTTTTTAAATATGATTGAAATGAGGCTGTAGCATTAATTTGTGCAGCAATGTATGCACCAGAACAACATCTGCACTGTATAAAAGCCAACTTTAAACCTAAAATTGCTTTACAACCTTGCAACGTACAAGAACTGTATTCAACAAAATCTATAAAAGTTTAAAAAGTATTTTCATCTTAAATTTGGGCCTGCATCATAACAGGTTGCATACACTTAACCCTCAAACTGCACAGCTATTTGTAACTCCAACCCCATCGTGTGTCTGAAACAAGTATTGAAAATCTATACTGATCAAGTGCACATGGCAATTTGTGCACAGGAGGAAATTACAGATAGTGATTGGAGCCGTGTACAGACTAAAGAACTGACCTTCACAGACTTCTCCACTTCAACAAGACACATGCGGCAGTTACCCGCCACGGAGAGTCTCTCATGGTAACAGAATCTTGGGATTTCCACTCCAACTTGAGCAGCAGCCTGAAAAGTTAAGAAGTGCAAACTACATTGTATACTTCAGTTCTCAAGTGTTTAGAGCTAACAGTCCATAAACACAGCGAGCCAACACACACAGAGATCACACTAACGTGATGCATCAAATGAACAAATCCACAAGGGCAGTGACGAGGATTCGAACCTGCGTCTGGGAGCATTTACAGCGAGCCAATACAAAAAAATCTGGAGTTAATGGTTTATAATAAAATACCGAACAATAAAAAAATTACTACTGCAAAGTTTAAATCACTTTACAAATATACATTTAACTTCAGAACATGTAGCTACCATAAAAAATGCCACCTTGCTTATGAAAACAAAATCAACAAAATTTGTTCATATAGAATGATACATGTGATGTAAATATGGTTACAATACATCTATATGGATGTACTGTAACAGAATTAACCAAGACAAGTGAAAAATATTCTGATATCATATTTATTTTGTTGCTATTGATGAAGTTATTTAGTACAGTACTATTCGTCATGCGATTATAGCCAATTCATAATTTGAAGCTTCCAGCTGGTGTTTGAATATTTCTGGACGATATTATCAGACAGAATAGCAGTAAAAGAGTGGATTGCAAAGACATTTTCTTTGAGCTGTGCCAGGAACAGATTTACAGTATATGTAATATAGATGTACACATTATATTGTAGGCATTAAGCAGCCCATGCACCCCCTCGCCACAGTCCGTGTACCCATCGCCACAGTCCGTGTACCCATCGCCACAGTCCTTGTACCCATCGCCACAGTCCTTGTACCCATCGCCACAGTCAGTGCACCCTTAGCTGGTATCCTCACATATGCACGAAACAAGATATGGGTTGGGTTTTTTGTACGCTCCTTACTTTTTACATGTAAATGTATCATTTTATAAGAACAAATTAAGTTTTGTACTTTTTCAGCCCTGGCAGAGGAACACCTATGATTTTAGAAGGAGCACCACTGTTTAAAGGTTAATAGCACCATTTCCATTCTTCTAAAACAGAATATTTCTAGGCGTAGGATAATAATAAGAGTGAGAAATACAGTATATATACAATATTACCTAACATTATATACTACATAAGCACAAAATTTATGATTGAAGTCAAAATGAAGGTTATAAGGTTTCTAAATCATAAAACAGCTCATTATTTTCCCATTAACACATACACAAATGTTATATACGAGTTCACCTGTAGTACAGTAGTTCCTGGTGCCACCATAACAGGAATATCATCAATGAAAACTTCTATTTTATCTGGTGCCGATGACTGAGCCCGTGATGCACTAACAACGGCAGCATGCCTGCTTCCATGCTGAAGCAAGCGAGATGCTCCTATACGTAGCATCTTGTTGCACCTGTGGAAAGGCAGCAAGCACAAATTAATAGATAAAAACCATCAATAAGTCATAATTACATTGTGTCATCAAGCCAAAAATCGAGTCATCGAGTATGCAACCAAAAATCAAAACATGTCTTGAGCTAACTTAATATGCTTAAAATTAAATGTTTGAATAATTCCTAATGAAAGAAAACTAATTTTACAGTCCAATAATAATTAATACTCAAAGTTAAGCCTATTAAAATCTTTACCAATCATCCAAATAGAAGTTAACCTGTGGACTATGGTACAAATGTAAAAAAAAAAAAAAAAAAAAAAAAAAAAAAAAAAAAAAAAAAAAAAAAAAAAAAAAAAAAACACCTTAATACTTTTAGAAATTTTAAGGCACTGGATCTTGGGATAAACCTGCAACTAGAAACAAATCTCTATAGACAGGTTCTCCTGTTAGTTGTCCATCATGTGATAGGATTTGTTTCTTGTTGCTTGTTTATCCCAAGAGTGAGATATCCCAAATTTATTGGGATATCTCACTCTTGGGTTATTTGTTTCTCGTTGCTTGTTTATCCCAAGTGTGTTTATCCAGTGCCTTAAAATTTTAAAAAATACTGTATTAAAGCCTTTTTTTTTCTCGTCCATCATATGACAGGATAAAATATTAATTTCTCACAATAAAGTTCTCCTATACAGTAGCACATGGAAGATATGAGGGGATATGAATGGGACTCCTTTAATTTGGTTCTAATTGTGTTTTAAACCATTTTTGTGGCTAGAGTCAACACTAAAATAAACAGCTCGAGTCATGGGAAAGCTGGTGAGCATATTAAAAAAAAAAATCCATGGTTCAATTTACAGTACATGTATATGTAAATACCCCGCGGCCCGGTCTTCGACCAGGCCTCCACCCCCCAGGAAGCAGCCCGTGACAGCTGACTAACACCCAGGTACCTATTTTACTGCTAGGTAACAAAGGCATAGGGTGAAAGAAACTCTGCCCATTGTTTCTCGCCGGCACCCGGGATCGAACCCGGGACCACAGGATCACAAGTCCAGTGTGCTGTCCGGCTCGGCCGAACTGATCAGTGAACTTAGCTCACAGAATGTAGAATACTGTATTGGATTATGATTGGTAATTCCTTTATTATGGGTCCCATTGTGCTTTTAATGGCAACATTACGAGAAACAGTTGGTGCCTTTGGAAACCAACCGAGCACATTTAAAACAAAATTCAGTATTCATTTTGAACTTTATATAAAAAAATATAGAAAGTTTGCCAATAAATGGCTAAATAATGGCAAAATTCCAGAAATCCAGATTGGGTTTGGAATGACAATCTGGATCAGGTTTGGAACAATATAATCCAGATTTTGAAAGGGCATCTAAAGGGAAGGGAACTATCAGGAAATAGTGCCAAGTCATTTACCTATATAGCACTAGGAAGGGGTCAGGATAAGGATTTGGGATGGGACGGGGGGAAGGAATGGTGCCCAACCACTTCGACGGTCGGGGATTGAAAGCCGATCTGCATGAAGCGAGACTGTCGCTCTACCGTCCAGCCCGAGTGGTTGGGCAAAGGGGAACCTGGACTCTGGTTGAGTGTGACACAGTCATAGTTTATGGTGTGACACAGCCACAGTGGGCTCTGGTTGAGTGTGACACAGTCATAGTTTATGGTGTGACACAGCCACAGTGGGCTCTGGTTGAGTGTGACACAGCCACAGTGGGCTCTGGTTGAGTGTGACACAGCCACAGTGGACTCTGGTTGAGTGTGACACAGCCACAGTGGACTCTGGTTGAGTATGACACAGTCACAGTGGGCTCTGGTTGAGTGTGACACAGTCATAGTTTATGGTGTGACACAGCCACAGTGGACTCTGGTTAAGTGTGACACAGCCACAGTGGACTCTGGTCGAGTGTGACACAGTCATAGTTTATGGTGTGACACAGCCACAGTGGACTCTGGTCGAGTGTGACACAGTCATAGTTTATGGTGTGACACAGCCACAGTGGGCTCTGGTTGAGTGTGACACAGTCATACTTTATGGTGTGACACAGCCACAGTGGACTCTGGTCGAGTGTGACACAGTCATAGTTTATGGTGTGACACAGCTACAGTGGACTCTGGTCGAGTGTGACACAGTCATACTTTATGGTGTGACACAGCCACAGTGGACTCTGGTCGAGTGTGACACAGTCATACTTTATGGTGTGACACAGCCACAGTGGACTCTGGTCGAGTGTGACACAGTCATAGTTTATGGTGTGACACAGCCACAGTGGACTCTGGTCGAGTGTGACACAGTCATAGTTTATGGTGTGACACAGCCACAGTGGGCTCTGGTTGAGTGTGACACAGTCATACTTTATGGTGTGACACAGCCACAGTGGACTCTGGTCGAGTGTGACACAGTCATAGTTTATGGTGTGACACAGCTACAGTGGACTCTGGTCGAGTGTGACACAGTCATACTTTATGGTGTGACACAGCCACAGTGGACTCTGGTCGAGTGTGACACAGTCATAGTTTATGGTGTGACACAGCTACAGTGGGCTCTGGTTGAGTGTGACACGGTCATACTTTATGGTGTGACACAGCCACAGTGAGCCAGAGTCTAAGAGTGACATAGCCAGCAACTTGTGGCTTAAGGAGACGACAAAATAAACACCAGACTAAAGAGTCCCGGTCCAAGACACCGGCCGCCTCTCCTACTCAAGGCTCGGCCACGGGAACACATCTAGTTCACTCTTACTAAATACTGTGGCTGGTGGACAAAATGGCGAGCGAGGAGGCTAGAAGAGGACAGAGCCGGGAGCCAGAGGGACGAGAAAACACTGGAAACCATACCACAACAACAATCAGCTGAGAGGCAAGATGGAGACGTCCTGTTGACCAATCAGCAGCCAGGGAACATTTGGTAAATCTTTAAGATGTCCTTTTTGACCAATCAGCAGCCAGAGAGCATTTGGTAAATCTTTAAAATCGAGTTCTCTGTTATAATTGGTATTTATTAGGTTTTGTTATTGTATTAAAACATTAAATTCCGTCTGGTTCGACTATAAAGATTTGGTTATTTGATAGAACTCTCAAATGTCGGCTTGTCAGGTCGCAGTAAGTCTGGCGGGAACTTCAAACTCCCCACCACATGGCTAACAAAATAATTCATATTGAACAGACTTGAACAAATCTTAGTTGACAAAAGGCATAATATGCGACTTTTTTTGTCGCCCTTGTCATCATATCCCAGCTCCTTGTCCTAAATGTCCTCTATACCAGCGCCTTGTCCGTGCATCCCAGCTCCTTGTTCTCACATCCCAACTCCTTGTCCTGAATATCCTCTATCTCAGCGCCTTGTCCTGAATGTCATATGTCCCAGCTCCTTATCTCCATATCCCTTCCAAGCACTATATAGTCATACTGGCTAAGCGCTTTCTCCTGATATAACTTGACTCTTTTCCCCCTTACATAAATGGCAGAAGTCTGGTATATATATATACTTCTGACACACATGTTCTCAGGTTGACAATGCCGACATGATTGGGCTCAGGGAAACACGAGGACGAGAAGAGGCAATGGAAGGGGAATTCGACTGATGGCTAGTATGATCTATCCCCATTCTGGCTGGGGGTGGCTAGTATGATCTATCCCCATTCTGGCTGGGGGTGGCTAGTATGCCTTTAGGTCGTGTCTCAGTGGCACGATTCTACCTCCCCATGACTGGGAAAAGGTCCATAAGTAATGTCCCTTTACCACAACTCCCACCTCAGACCCAGGACGAACTTGGATCAATGACATACCATATATTATGGTATGTCATATGTTATGGAATATATGTCCACCATATATTCCGGGTATCATAATGGTGGACATATATGGGAGGTGCCTCGTACGAGTCAATTACCCCTCATGTAGTTTCTTTTATTCTATAGCTAATTTAATTCATAGTGCACCCCATACCCATCCAGTAGGCGGCAGTGGAACAGTTACAGAAGCAAAGATTACTATCATTACAACGTAATAATAGTATTACCATTATCGTCATTGTTAATTTTGTTACCTTTTAATGAGGCCGGCATGCCCCTGCACACCTTAAGAGACACACAACGACCTCTGATAAACGGCACACCGTAAGAAACATTCATCTGGTCCATTAAGGTTGAAGATATTCACTTAACCAGATGATTGATAGTGCTTCACACAGCTGTGGTGACGTTGTGTTGAGCGCGGGCGTGTCTGAGAGCCTCTGGGGCCGCGGCCACCAGCTGCCTTGCCTCTCACAATGGCGGTAAGAGGCATCGAATCCCCTTGAAATGAGTTCTTGTGTTGCGGTTCGCTGGAAGAGCGGCTTAGTGTGTTTCAGTCATGGTGGAAAGTCATGGGATGCATTTAGGGCTTGAAGGCCGTATTGGTTGTGGTGTGGACGCTGAGGGGGGGTCGATGCCCCATGGACGGGGGGCGAGCTCAAAGCGAGTCATTGTGCCGGCAGGTCTTGTGGTGTCCGTGGGATTCCTGGAATTGTGAGTCGATCTTTCAGACAGCCTGACTCGGCGCCGCTACCTTTCCCAAAAGCTTTTTCCACCTTCGCCACCTCCAATAACTCCCTCCCCCCCCCTCCCCACCTCCCATAACCCCCTCTCCACCTCCCATAACTCCCTCCCCCTGCCCATCACATCCATTAACCCTGTTCCTTCTCCATTGTTGCAGTAATTATTTTTGTATGATCCAGAGAGCGAGCAAGGGATCTGAAGTACCGTGGTCTACGACTCTACGTCCGGGGATCCCGGGTTCGATCCTCTGGCGGGACAGAAACGGTTGGGCATGTTTCCTTTCACTTAATGCACCGTTCACCCAGCAGTAAACAGGCACCCAGGAGTTAGGGAACTGTTGTGGGGTTGCATCCTGGGGGAAGGTCAGTAGTTCGACCTTTGGGAGCTCTCGATACGAGCCTAAAATATATATATACAGGCTTCCCTGTCCCCCCGACAAAATGAATTATTGTTTCTGCAGACATTTACCCATATCGACGGATTTTTTTTATTTCTGCCGAATATCTTGTGTATATTCTAGCTCATCAATCTTCTATCTCATTCAGCCTTATGATTGAGCATTTGGTGCAGCGTCTCCCCACTACTGCCTCTCCAACATGTCTTCCCTTCCCTGCCTCAATGAGGCAGGGAAGGGTAGACTTGCCCTTCCCTGCCTCAATGTTATGCTCCTATGTTGACATCCCTCTCATGCTGGACCTTTCCCGCTCAGTAGCCTCGTATCCCTTGCATGGCGCTCATTTAATGAAATCACAAATAGTTATTATTAGACTTGTTTCCTTATATCTTACCTGTGCACTCCTTCACCGAGGAGTGCACATACATCTTGTCGCTCCTTCTTCAACGTCACACGAGTCAACTTCACAGGATTAAACATCGTAGGATTCAAACTCACAGGACTCAACATCACTGGTTCGACGCCTCAAGTCGTTAAAGTATCCATTATTGACGGGTATGTCTAAGATATGTAAACGAAGGTGGACTCCATGAAGACGCGACCATCACTGCTCTGTCTGTCGCTCCTATTAAACTGTTCTACCGGAACAGCTCACTGAAGGCGGGAAAGTCCTACAAGACATCTTTGGCAGACACGTGGCCACTACTGACACTTATAAGGCTTATCATAAGTAAGTAAACTTATCATGATAAGTAAGGCTTATCAGTTTACTACAAGACCAAGCAGACTATTGCTGACGAAGAACTCTCCCGACACCCAGCGAAACGCCTTGAGACAAATGTTGTCTATTACACACAGAGATCACACTAACGTGATGCATCAAATGAACAAATCCACATTAAGGCAGTATCTGGGATGCTCCCGGACGCAGGTTCGAATCCTCATCACGGCTCTTGTGGATTTGTTCAAATGTTGTCTATGTCTTACATGCCCACATGGAGACTGTTAGCCCCGACGATCTCAATATAAAGGCAAGACTATAACATCTCTTTCAAGGTACTCATTTATAGCTAGGTGAACGGGGGTATTAGATGAAAAAAAGCGTGGTCAACCATTTCTCTCTCGCCCGGAAATCAAACTCGGGATCCCCGATTGTGAGTTGAAAACGAAGCCAAAATGGTGGCATTCCTGTTGGATGCCAAGACAGGCTTACCAACTTTCCCTGCTGTCTTTGCCTTGAGGAGACCAGGGGTACCAAGCCGCGCTGCCATAGGCGGGAACTAGACCGAGTTCTCTGTGGGGATGAACAGTGTGAAGGAGCCACTGGTGGACCACTGGAAGGTGCTCAAAGCCACCACTGCACATGTGTCACCACTGCTAAACAATGTGTCACACCTCCACATAAGGAGTCGGCAGTCTTCAAGTACCTTCAAGACGCAGGCGATGAGTCACAGTAACGTGGCTGAAGTATGTTGACCAGACCACACACTAGAAGGTGAAGGGACGACCACGTTTCGGTCCGTCCTGGACCATTCTCAAGTCGATTGTGATGAGGAGGTAGAGACCTTCAAGACGTCTGGCCTAAGATGTCTGCAGTAAAGCTCCAGTAAAGCTGAAGTCAAGCCAGCGTCCACGTCGGACCACAGATAAACAATATTAAGTTGTGTAAAACCCTGGTTTGTGTCTCGGAGAGGCTGCAGGATCCAAGTTCATTAGAACTTCTGGTTTCAACTCTTTTGACCATGTCGTATCTCAGTCGATTAAGGCAGCGTCTGGGATACTCTCGGACGTAGGTTCGAATCCTCATCACGGCCCTTGTGGATTTGTTCACTTGATAAATAAGATCCTTCAGTGCTAATAATTTCCAAAGAACCTCGCTAGGAAGGAGACAGTAGCTTGGAACAGCTTCGTGAAGCGCTTCAGGACCATCTGGGCAATCACATAAACTGGCGAAGATCTACGCCACAATGGGCTGCAAAATGTCCATCAAAGTCCATATCCTTGATTCTCATCTTAATAAATCCAAGAGGAACATAAGAGCGTACTCCAAGGAGCAAGGCGAGCGTGTCCACGAGGATATACTGGACTGTGGAACCTGCTGCCAAGGATAGTATAACTAGATCATCACCGTTAAGGGGGCGGATTTATGAAAGGGATGGGCAGTATAATCGCGAATCTCAGAAAACTGATTGTTCTTAAATCTTTTGGGGTAACTTATGTAGAATTTTAGCACAAATACACATGTTAATTTTTAACCATATGTGTATTTCATCTATCATCATGCTATCATGCAAGAGGAGCTACACATCTATGGATCATCCAATAAAATCAGCAGACTTCTAGATGTTACTGCTGCTCGGCTTAGACTCGGTTACAAGTATCTCTGGGAATTCTCATTATCTGCTGATGTAGACCTGACCAAATGTAAACTGTGTCAACAAAATTATTCGCACACTCTCCGTCACTATGTGATGGAGTGCGAAAAGATACGTGAATTTAGAGACAATTCTATAACCAATGTTCCAAAGATGTGTAAATATTTCATTCAAAATGATCTGCTACCAGAAATTGTAGCCAAATATCCCCAGTTTGCTAACTGTAGGTAGTAACTAAGTGATTGTAACCTATCCACCGCTGCCCACTGGATGGGGGGCGATGTGCAGGACAAACATATCAATTGTGACACTAGCTCTCCACATATGTCAGTTGCTTAGAAACTGTACTTGTGGTCGATTTCGAACCCATTGCTGATGTGACACTTATATTGAATTTTGTAACTAGCTCATCAAGACTGTAACTTGCTTAGCTAAATGAATTGTGGGGTTCAGTCCCTGAGCCCATTATGTGCCTCTGTAACCCTTTCCACTACCGCCCACAGGATGGGTATGGGGTGCATAATAAATGAACTAAATTAAAACTGCTGTTTCTCTGATTTAATGTGAACGAAAAGACGAAAAGTT